CAGTGGTAACATTCCTGCCTTGGTGATTCAGAATTTCCAGGTTTGAAATCCACTGCGGAGCTTGATAACTATAGAATGATCTTTCATAATGTGGTCGTGCAGATTCGTTGTCAGTGTTCAGATTGGCATTCATTGGCACGGTGGCTCAGTGGTTAGCACAGCTGCCTCACGGCACCAGGGACCTGGCTTCAATTCCCCTTCAGGCAACTGTCTGTGTGGAGTTTGCACATTCTCTCCGTGTCTGCGTGGGTTTCCTCCAGGTGCTCCAGTTTCCTCCCACAATCCAAAGTTGTGCAGGCTAGGTGGATTGGCCATGCTAAATGCCCATAGTGTTCAGGGATGTGGAGATTAGGCAGGTTTGGGGAATGGGTCTGAGTGCGATCCTCTGAGGGTTGGTGTGGACTTGTTCGGCCGAAGAGCCTATTTCCACATTGTAAGGGTTATATGAAGAGATTCCTCGTCATCTCTGTTTTGGAAACAAAGTTTGAACACCTATCATCTCCAGCCATAGCACCAAATTACCACACGTAAAAATGATGATGCCACAGCAATGTGGTCTATGAATGATTTGTAACACATCACCAAACATCAAGGAAAGTTAGTGTTCAGTTGGAAATCAAAACATAATTTTGTATAACTGAAAAATAATGTCACGTTTATAACAGTTTTGATAATGAATTGTATTGTTCCACTGTATTGTTCCTTGAAAAGAAATTATCAGAGAATATGGAATGTTTTGCATAAGAAGTTATTTGATTGGAGAGATTTGATTAAAATGCTGCTTTCATTACTTTGCAATGCGTTTTTGTCCTTTCTTAAGAAAATCAGAATATACTGAAAGGCTTAAATGCCTTCATTTAATCATCTAATTACATGCAGCTGTGTCTTTTTAAAACTCCATAACAGATTTTTTTGTGTTGGTGTCAAATTTACTTTATGGTTCACTATCTAAGAATAGGAAGAGTTTGTTTGTGCCCAAAGAAGCCTCTTGACATAAAAGGTTTGAAATTACTGTTTTTTTAATGGAAAGAATAAGGAAGAATTACCAGGAAGTATCTCTGTAGATTAAAAAGGACACATCTGCAAAACTGAAAGGAAATGAGATGGGAAAGTGAACTGTGCTGTCAAATAGCATTTGATGTTATCATTTAAAATTTAAATTAGCATTTTGGTCTCTGTTATTTGCTGATTTTTGTCTGTTTTCGATCTTTGAAGTTTAGACATCAAAAATCTGGATTTTTAAGCTGTGCCCATTCAAAACCAAATACTTCAACACCTATTTTTGTTAAATGTTATTGTATTTCAAAAATGAAAATTGATTCAAGTATTCAGGTGAGGTGACAATGGACTAACTCCTTGTTTTTGCTTTAATTAATAATACAAATTGCTATCTAGTAATAGATACATTAGAAGCCATACAGATGCATTGAATTATGTAGATTATACAGTACAAAAACACCATTCAGCCCAACTGGTTGATGCCAGTGTTTATGCTCCATGATAGTGCCAGTGTCAACTCAATTCAGTAAACGGGTGATGGGTGTTAATATCAAGTTATTGTGGTTAAATGGCAGGGCTTTTGTGGGGCAGGAGTGTACCTACCTCTGAATCAGGAGGCTTGGGTTCAAGCCGCACCTGCTCTAGGGGTGTGTGGTAATATCTCTGAACAGGTTGATTAGAAAAAGAAGTGGGTGAAAAGTAAACAGGAGATGGGATATAGAGATGGTGGGGCAGGGTTCTCGGTGGCACATTGACAGTAGGCTTAACCTTGGGTCAGAAGGTCTGGGTTCAAGTTCCACCTGCTACACTGGTATGTCATGTTCGAACACATTGATTTTTAAAATCAATTTATAAGCAGGGGCTAGCTGTGACTGGGAAGTGAGCAGGTTGGTAAGCTTTCTTCAAGGAAAAGCTGTGTGGCTCATGCGTGCTTCATTTTCAAGCTTGGATCCAATTTAACAATAAGCTTCCTTCCACGTTGTTTTGTCTAATGTATTTGCATAATTGTTTATTCCTTTATATCCTTCTATTTCAGTTTTGTCCCCATGCTGTTACTTGTTCTTTTGCTTTTTCCAGGATTACAGGCAGGAGGTTGGGAAGTGTTTTATCAAGTTGGTTCAGCCATTATTTAAGTATATCTGTAATTTAAACTGCTGTTTGGAATTAGCTGTCCTTGTACTATTATCTTGTTTTCAGTTTAATCTTTATTATTTTACATGTATTCATTAAGTATATGTTATAGAGGGCCCCAAAGTCGGTTACATAGGTATGAAGGGAGGGAGGCTAAGTTTAGTGGTTAAAAGTACGGCAGTAAATAAACTTTGGAAAATATTTAAAGAAACAATTCAAACTGTTCAACAAAAAATACATTTTATTAAAAACACAAAACTTAGCAAGACACCCATTTGTGACAATCTAGGAATGTTTGGGATAGTATTAGATTTAAAGAAGAAGCTTCTAATGTTGTAAAGGAAAGTAATAAGTTTAAGGATAAGGAGCATTTTGGAAACCAGCAGAAGTCCCATCAAAATTTTGGGTAAAAGGGGGAAAAGTTAGGATGAGTGCAAACTAATCACAAATATAAAAACAACTTTTAAGACCTATGTAAGTAAAAAAGAAAGAGTAGCTTAAAATGTCAATCTCTTAGAAATAGGAAGATGGTCAAAACTGGGATCTGAGGGCCAGTTAGCTTGATATCAGTCATCAGGAACATGCTGAACTTCATTATTAAGGCAGTTTTAACAGTGCATGTAGAATGTTGTACAATTTGACAAAATTAGCATGGTTTTAATGAAAGGGAGATCTATTTGACAAATTTTTTTGGGTTTCTTGAGGATATACACTAGCGGAGCAAATAAAGGGGCTCCAGAGATATAATACACTCTATGTTCAAAAAGTATTTGATAAGTTGCCCTACAAAAGATTAATACACAAAGTAAGGGCTCATGGAGTTGGTGGCAATGTACTTGCATGTATAATGGATTGTTTAACAGACAGGAAGCAAAGGGGCGGCACGGTGGCACAGTGGTTAGCACTACTGCCTCACAGCACCAGGGACCCGGATTCGATTCCAGCCTCGGGCAACTGTCTGTCTGGAGTTTGCACATTCTCCTCGTGTCTGCATGGGTTTCCTCCGGGTGCTCCGGTTTCCTCCCACAGTCCAAAGATGTGCAGGGTAGGTGGATTAGACATGCTAAATTGCCCGTTCAGGGAGGTGTAGATTAGGTCAGTTATAGGGGGCTGGGTCTGGGTGGGATGCTCTGAAGTTCGGTGTCGACTTGTTGGGCCGAAGGGCCTGTTTCCACACTGTAGGGAATCTATGGATTCTATTCCATCTATGACTACAAATGGGACGCATAGCTATTTACAGCACAGAAGAGATGATTCGGCCCATTGTGTCCATATTGGTCAATAAAGATCCGATTATGTTAATCCCTCTCTGTAGCTTTTAGCTAACATCCCTGGAAGGGATAGCAGTGCTAGTAAATATGTAAATGCTGGTCAAATGTTACAACATTTTCTGACTCAACCCCCCCCCCCCCCCCTTCAGACAGTGAGTTTCAGACTGCCACCCCCCTCTGAGTGAAAACATTATCCTCAACTTGTCTCTTAACCTTCTCCTCTCACTTTAAATCTATGCTCCCTAGTCATTGACCCCTCTACTAATGGGGGGAGAAATGTTCCTTCCTATTCCACAGTATCTATACCCCTCAATATCTTATACACTTCTATTAGGTCTCCCCTCAAATTTTACTGCTCAAGGAAAACAACTCCAACGTATCAAGTCTTTCCTCATAATTCAGCCCCTCCAGCCCAGGCAGCATCTTGGTAAATCTCCTCTACATCTTCTCCAATGCAATCACATCCTTCCTGTATTCAGAGAGCAGAACTACACACAGTACTGCTGTTGTGGCCTAACCAGCATTTTATACAATTTCAACATAACTGCCTTGCTCTTGTATCTCTTCTAGCCTCATTTAATAAAAGGAAAGTATCCTGTATGTCTCTTCAACCATCTTATCTACCTGCCCTACTATATTCAGGGATATGTGTACCAAGCTGGCTGCAATATTCAGTACTCTTCAGGGTCCTACCATTTATAAGTTATCTCTTGCCTTGTTAGCCCTCTCCAAGTGCATCAACTTGCACCTTTCCAGCTTGAGTTCCTTTCGCCAGTACTCTGCCCAGCTGACCAGGCAATTGATGCCTTATTGCAGTTTATGGCTATCTCTTCACTGTTTAGCACTCAGTCAATTTTCAGGTCATCTGCAAACTTCTTGATCATACCATCTACATTCAGCTGCAAGCAAGTGCCACAGCTCTGAGACCTGAAGAACCCCACAGGAAACAGTCTTCCAGTCACAGAAACTTCCATCATTGACAATTTTGATACAACATATCACTTTGCCTTGGGATTCCATAGGCTCTTGTTGTCTTGACCAGTCTTATCAAAAGAATGTAATTTTTTTCTTTAAAGGTATTTTAAAGTACCTTTTAAAAAAACAGGAAATCTAATTTTTAAATTTGTAATATCAGCATGTAACATTTATTATAAGGGAAATACATTTTTCAATTATCTTATTTTTCAATTATTAATTAGCCAATCTGTTGTAATATATTCTCCATAAAAGTTAAAGGGCTGTGTTGTCAAGTTAATGTTTTTTATATATTGATAATGCTGTTGAACAATTTACACCATGGAGATTTCTCTTTATTGTTAAAGAGATGAGATTAAAATTTGCTTTCTTATGCATATGTTCGATACAGATGCCATTGGCTTTATTATAGCATCAGGTAAACAAACGGGCCAGTTGTGCCTTTTTTCAACTTGATGTGTGTATGTAAAATGATTAACTGCACATAGATTTATTCATTATTAACCAATCCTGGGAAATAGCTTGACTGATAAATTATGAAGATTGTTGGATGTCCTGAAAAAAAACTGCTGTTCAAATGATTCAAGAAACTAGACTAATTTTCCCATTTATGTTATTCTCTAGGTTTTTTGCAATTGTTTACATCCTTCTTCAAGCTGGAGCTGTTGTAACAGGTCTTCATTATTGTTATTGCCTGCAATATCAGTGCTTCCATTTGCTGCAGTTTCTTCTGGCACAGGGTTACACTTTACCATCAGGCAGTCATTTGGCTGATGTTGTAAAGTATGGATTATTATCAGAACATCAGTACAAGCAGTGGTTGCCTCACCTATTACTAGCTGGATTGAATCCTGTTGATTTGCTTAGTGAAACATGGTAAGTAACATATTCAGAGATGCATCTGCTTGTTAATTTTAAAATAAATTGCAAATGGCTTCTTTAAAGTTAAAATAATAATACAGAAAATAGACATACAAGTTAAAACATCATTCAAGGCCACTTGTTTGTATGCTCAAGCTCTTAGTTAAATACAACGTTATATTATTTATAAGCTTCATTTGGTAAAGGATAACACAACCAAGACTAACTGTAGACAACAGGCTAATATTCCATAGGGATTGATTAAAAGTTACGTATACAGAAGTGCCTAGTTGATTTGTAGCTGTCAGCTTGAATTATGGTATTAATCATTTAGTATGCATGTTAACATTGCGCCAAGCAGAAGTGTAACGTTGCAGGTCAGTAACAAAGGAGCATATTTCTTAATGTTGCAATTAGATTTTTTTTATATTTATAATATTTTCTAATTAAAGTAGCATTCACAATCCAGTATCTGATCTTTACCCATTCCAGTGAAACAAAAATAGCTTAATTTGAAAACTTACTTTTTCTGTCACAGTCTCTAAATACAAGTCTCAGTAATGGTTCATCTGCTACATTTTTCATTTTGGGGTAATTTTTGGCACTAATTATATTGCATAAAAACAATGAAAAGAAAATAGCTCAAGGAAAATATGCAAATATGAATCAAAACTCAAATCTGCAGTTTGATATTTCTGAGAAGCTTTTAATGATTGACAAATGAATAGACTGCAAGTGCAAGGTATGCAAAAAGAAAATCCAGGAGTATAAATTCCTCATTCTCACCAGAAACCCTCTTAACAGTGTCAGAGCAGGATTATAATCCAGACTGGGACTTGACCATAACTTTATGCAGTGTTATAAAGACTGTATCTTTTTATTTTTCAATATTTTTGATTGTGGACTAAAATGGAGAAGGGCTAATTTAAAAGCCAAGGACTGTAGAAGAATTGCCACATTTTCTTAAAAGCAAATTACCTGACATTCATTGTAGGTGCTGTTTGTACAGCTGTTAGTGCATACAGTGGTGGCAGGTCTAGTTGCAGGTGAGCTGGAGCTAAAGGATATTTACAAATGGAGATTTGGCCAGGAACAAGTAGATGATTTTTCTGTGAATTAGTGACCAGCTATCAATGACAAAGCCCTCCTCCATGCCAACAACCATGAAATTGGCTCCTAAAGATGAACAGCTTGGGAGTGTGAATGCTCAGGTCGGAAGCAATCAGATCTCCGAAAAGGAACAATCTGTGTTTCTGCTCTGAGTTTAAAAAAATCTTAAGCCTGAATATAGAGCTAGTAAGAACTGCCGATGCTGGAGTCAGAGATAACACAGTGTGGAGCTGGAGGAACACAGCAGGCCAGGCAGCATGAGAGCAGCAGGAGAGTTGACGTTTCGGGTTGTCAACTTTCCTGCTCCTCTGATCCTGCCTGGCCTGCTGTATTCCTCCAGCTCCACACTGTGTTATCTCTTAAGCCTGAATATTAACCAGTTTATTTCTCCTCATCAGTTGCTTTAAGCTTTGACTTGAATTAATATTAGAAGCTTTTATAAATGTGCCTCCTTCGTGCAAGTGAAAGTACCTGAGAAAGGAAAATGAAGGAGCAAAGATCTGATCAGCAAAAGGATCAGCTTAGCAACCACTGAACTGCCTTCTCTCCACCCATAATGTCCATTTTCTTTTTGTGTCTGTCGTGTTTGTCTTTGAGTGTGTGGAGGGATTGGTTTATAAGGAGTTAAAACACTAACTACTATAGTTATATGTCAACGGTTCATATTTGTTTATCTGTAGCTAGAATCTATTTATTTTCTGTTGTTTTATTGTAATAAATATTAATTCTTGTTAAGAAATAAAACGTCCATGGTTTCTAGCAGGCTGGATGTAAAAGACAGATACATTGGAACTTTTGCAAACTTTTTAAAAATATTTAATTTCTGTGACAACTCTGAGAATAGTGGGGCTTGATTTCAAGCATGCTACCTCAGTGAGGTGTAGAAGAATCCAAGGTTAGATTAATTCAATGAAAGAAAGTTTTCATCCTGGTATGTATGCATCTTGGATGCCGTTGGAAGGTTGGCTGTAAATGTGGTTTCAGTATAGCCACTCAGAAGAAGCTGGTAAAGATACCAAAAATTCTAGAAAGTGGCCTTCTTCGGAAGAGGAGTGATTTTAAAGTGCTTGTCTATCATCATCTTGGGTGTTTCAGATCAGCCAAACACCCTTGTGATGTATACTGAAGTCCCTCAATTGACTTTGCAGGTATTTCGCTAACTTCCAGGTTTCTTCAGTCAGCAGTGATGTTGGGGTAGGAGTGACCTGTATAAGAAGGATGGATTGCACCTGAATTGGAAGGGGATTAATATACTGTCAGAGAGATTTGCAAGAGCTGCTCAGGAGGATTTAAACTAGTAGGTGTGGGGGAACCCAGGGAAATAGTGAGGCAAGAGAGCAGTCTGAGACTGATACAGTTGAAAAAAGGAGTAAGTCAAAGCAGAGAATGAGGTAGGACTGATAAATTAAACTGCATTCATTTCAATTAAGAGGCCTAACAGGTAAAGCAGATGAACTCGGGGCATGTTTGGGAACATGTCTGGGCTATCATTAGCAATTACAGAGGCATGGCTTAGGGGTGGACAAGACTGGCAGCTTAATGTTCCAGGATATAGATGCAATAAGAAGGATAGAAAGGGGAGCAAGAGAGGAGGGGGAGTGGCGTTTTTGATTAAGGATAACATTACAGCTGTACTTAGGGAAGATATCCCTGGGAATACGTCAAGGAAGGTTATTTGTGTGGAACTGAGAAATAAGAAAGGGATGATCTCCTTATTGGGATTGCACTATAGACACCCCAATAGGCAGCAGGACATTGAGAAACAAATTTGTAATGAGGTCTTCGGTCTGCGACAACAATAGTGTGGTTATGCTAGGGGATTTTAATTTTTCAAACATAGACTGAGACTGTTAAGGGCTTGGATGGAGAGGAATTTGTTAACTGCATACAAGAAAAATTTCTGATTCAGAATGTGGATGTACCTACTGGAGAAGGCGTAAAACTTGACCTGCTCTTGAGAAATAAGGCAGGGGAGGTGACTGAGGTGTCAGTGGGGGAGCACTTTGGGGCCAGTGACCATAATTCTATTAGTTTTTAAAATTGTGATGGAAAAGGATTGAGCATATCTAAAAGTTAAACTGCTTAATTGGAGGAATGCCAATTTTGATGGTATTAGGCAAGAACTTTGACCAGTTGATTGGGGCTGATGTTTGCAGGTAAAGGGATGACTGGAAATGGGAAGTCTTCAAAAGTGAGATAATGAGAGTCCAGAGACATTATGTTCTTGTTAGGGTGAAGGGCAAGGCTGGTAGGTATAGGGAATGCTGGATGGTTAGAGAAATTGAAGTTTTGGTCAAGAAAAAGAAGGAAGTATATGTCAGGTATAGACAGCATGGATCGAGTGAATCCCTAGAAAAATATAAAGGCAGTAGGAGAATGCTTAATTAGGAGGGCAAAAAGGGGACATGAGAGAACTTTGACAAATAGGGTTAAAGAGAATCCAAAGGGATTCTACAAATATATTAAGGACAAAGGGGTAACTAGGGAGAGAATAGGACCCCTTAAGGCCACCTATGTGGGGAACTGCAGGGGATAGGGGAGGTACTAAATGAGTATTTTGCATCAGTGTTTACTGTGGAGAAGGATATAGAAGGTAGAGGACATGGGGAAATAAACAGCAACATCTTGAAAAATGTACATATTGCAGAGGAGGAGGTGCTGAATGTCTTATAACGCATAAAGGTGCTTAAATCCCCAGGACCTGATCAGGTGTTCAGTAGAATTCTGTGGGAAGTGAGGGAAGAGATTGCTCAGCCCCTTCTTGAGATAATTGTACCATTGATAGTCACAGATGAGGTTCCAGAAGACTGAAGGTTGGCTAAGGTGGTGCTACTATTTAAGAAAGGTAGTAAAGAAAAGCCAGGGAACTATACACTGGTGAGCTTGACCTCAGTGGTCGGCAAGTTGTTGGAGGGAATCCTGAGGAACATGATTTACATGTATATGGAAAGGGAAGGACTGATTAGGGATAGTTGACATGGTTTTGTGCATGGGAAATCGTGTCTCACTAACTTGACTGAGTTTTTTTTTTGAAGAAGTAACAAAGAGGATTGATGAGGGCAGAGTGGTGGACATGATTTATATGGACTTCAGTAAGGCATTCCTCATGGTAGACTGGTTAACAATGTTAGATCACATGGAATACAGCAAGAATTAGCCATTTGGATACAGAACTGTCTTGAAGGTAGAAAACAGAATGTGGTGGTGGAGAGTTGCTTTTCAGACTGGAGGCCTGTGACCAGTGGTGTGCCACAAGGATTGGTGCTGAGTCTACTGCTTTTCATCATTTATATAAATGATTTGGATGTAAACATAGGAGGTATGGTTAGTAGGATTGCAGATGACACTTAAATTGGAGGTGTAGTGGACAGTGAAGAGGTTACCTCAGAGTACAATGGGATCTTGATTAGATGGGTCAATGGGGTGAGGAGTGGCAGATGGAGTTTAATTTAGGTAAATGTGAGATGCTGCATTTTGGAAAGGCAAATCAGGGCAGGACTTGTATACTAAATGGTAAGATCCTGCAGCGTGTGGCTGTACCAAGAGACCTTGAAGTTCAGGTTCATAGTTCCTTGAAAGTAGAGTCACAGGTAGATAGGATAGTGAAGAAGGCGTTTGGTATGCTTGCCTTTATTGGTCAGTGCATTAAGTATAGTAGATCGGAGTTCATGCTGCAGCTGTACAGTATATAGTTCACCCTGTCTTAATTTTCGTTCAAGGCCCAGTGATTTGATTTATTTTGTGTACTTCTTTTTCAACAAACTAATCTGTTAAATGTTTATCTGTTGGTTCAATGCATTCGTTAACTCATCAAAATGGATTGAAAGTGAACACATTCAAACAACAAAAAGGTATTTATTCCTGTCAATTTGGATAAATATGAGGTATTGCATTTTAGTAATACA